GTGAGCAGCTGGGGGCTGGCCAGGGCGGTCGGGGGTAGCCGGGGGCTGGTCCCCCGGGCTGGAGCCGGGGCCCTCCTCGGGAGGCCGCTCCATTGTGCCTCCGGGCGGATCCGCCCGACCCGGAGCCCAGCTGGAGGTGGCCGGGTCTTGTGGCCAGCTCCCCGCGGCAAACCGAGATCCCCCCTGGATGGGGGGGAGGGGACTCCTAGCCACGCCCCCTCTTTCAGGCGGGCTGGGTTGGTCCGCGCCGCATAGCCCAAGGTGGAGTTAAAAGGTAGAAACTCCTCCCCCGATCCGCGGGGAAGGGAAGGGCTTCGGACAGGCAGGGCCTCCCTGATTGGGCCGGAGTGCCGCGATGGGCGGTCTGGGATGGCGGGAATCGGAAGACAGGGGCTGAGGGGCGGCCTTCGACGGGCCGCAGAGAGAGCCAGGCGCGGGGCCGCGTTTCAAGAGGGGAGGCGGGGCCGAGGGCTCTCCCACGTGGGACCGGAGTGCCCGAGGCTGACGTCACGCGGAGCCGCGCCGCCAATTACCGAGTTTTGGAGAGAGCTCCGGTTGCGAAGTTGGGGGTTGTGGAGGGCCAGGATTTCCTTCCATTCATTCGGCCGGCCCGGCAGGGTTTGGTCTGGGATTGCTATATGTTCATTTGCCAACTTTCCCTAGTTTTCATACTCCAAGTACACTCCTTATCCTTCAGTATTTTTCCTGGCTGCCCTCACAAAAGGAAAGGAAAGGATCCTATTTGGAATCAAAGTATTCGACCCTGTCTGTCTCGTCACCAATCCCTTACCTTGTCTGTGCAGGGGAGAGTCAGAGGATTACAGAGTTAAATAATCTAGCCTTCAGGGAAAGAAAAAAAAGTGAGCAGGAAGTGAGTCGTTATTTCTTTTTGGAAATCTCCAATTAGTCTAGCATCTCTATCATCTATGGAGGATGAATTAAGACTAAGTTGGCTGGTGGAGGGGCGCTCAACTGCAATGGAAATTATTACATTTTTTTCAAGAGTTTCCTGACCCTGAGGAACTCCTAGGATTCTAAAATAAAGAATCAAGAGTAGTGAGGCAATTCCGTTTTTATGGCCTGAGTTAGAAGGAGAGCTTGCCGAACAGGTGCAGGTCCACGTCGTTCTGCATAGGTTTAGGAAAGAAAAAGTGCAAGGTACAACGATGATTGTTACTTGTCAGCTAACTGGCCTTAGAGGTGCAGTGCTGTCCGAGAACCTAGGTAACCAGACTAATTGGAAGCTGAGGGAAGGGTTGGTCACAAGATAAGACTTTTTAATGCAGCATACATGGGGCGTGTTGTGTTATTCTGTCCCATGTAGCAGGGGAACTAGGGTTGACTGTTGTGGAGACTAGATCTGTAGCTGATAAATTTTATCGGGCTCTGCAGGGCATAGATTACATCAGACTCTTTCATCAAAGCTGCATAAAGCCTGCCCAGGGTCCCTCCCTTAATCTGAAATATTCTCACTTCCCTTTCTCTTCTTCCCTAGGGCTGGCAGTATCTAGATGGCTTCTCTCAGTTTGCAGAACTGGGAAAGGAATACTTTTCTATCTGCTTCCTCTATTATCCGTACTCCCAGAGATGAGCAGGTAGAAAAGGGAAACAGGTAACTTGGAGGAACTATGCATGATCTGCTCACCAACTGATGCAGAACTACAGCAGGAAAATGCACCAACGTTCTGAGGGAAACCTGTCTATAAACTGAAATTTGCAAACCACTGGAGCAGGGGAGGAGGTTCCTTTCTCCCTTTCTCGCCTCATCCGGTTCAGACTCCTATTTCAGATGTTACATGGGGGACGAAACCATCCTCAGGAAAGTCTCGTCCCAGCTGGGGCCCAGGAGCCACAGGATCTGCAGCTGCAGTGCAGTTACCCGCACAAGTAAACAGGGTGGGTCCCCTCCCACTGACAATTCTGCTGCCCAGGTGCCACCTGGTGGTGATAAGCAGTAAGTGGCCAACAGGAAGGGATGGCCATTAGTTAGAGGAAGTGTCTTACAGGGTGGGGCCTGAGAGAGAGAATACTTCCTGGACTTGGCAACCTGCGTTCCTACCTCGACTATAATTGCCTCTGTTTTTTTTCTTTTTTGAATTGGAGTCTCACTCTGTTGCCCAGGCTGGAGTGCAGTGGCACGCTCAAGGCCACCGCAGTCTCAACCAGCTGGGCTCAGGTGATCCTTCCGCCTCAGCCTTCCAAGTAGCTGGAACCACAGGCATGTGCCACAATGCCCGGCTGATTTTTTATTTATTGTAGAGACAAGTCTTGAACCCCTAGGCTCAGGCAATCCTCTCACTTCCATCTCCCAAAGTGCTGAGATTACAGGTGGGAGCCACTGTGCCTGGCCTATAATTGCCTTCTAGAGGAGGCTGAGGGTCGGATGTAGTACTCTGGTCTCAGCCATTCACAAATATGGAAGGGGGCAGCAGGATTTGGGGAAATTTCTTCTGTATTATTTATTCCTTGAAAGTTACTGCCAAGTAGTGGCCCCATTGTTGGTTGGCTCTAACATTAGAACTTTCTTATACTAAGACTGGAGTCAGACTGCCTGAAGAAATTCTTGGCCCCATTCCTTCAGAGTTGTATACCCCTGGGCAGGTTACTGCTTAAGTCTACCCTCTCCTCTCCAAAATGGGTACAATAATAGCACCCACTGTGTCAATGAGATGTTGCACATGAAGTGCCAAACACAGGGCTTTGGCTTATTAAGCACTCAATAAATGCTAGCGATTTAGAACTCTTTTTATTTCCTGTGCAGCAAACAGGACACTTCTCCATTGGACAGGCCTTCAAATATTTGAAGACATCTATTGGGGTTCCCTTCAGCCTTCTCTTGCCAGGTTTTTCCCCCCCAGCCACCCCACTGGTTTGTCAATGGCTGTCTTTAAAAATTACACTTGAACATAGGATACTCAGGAGTGGTTCTAAATAGACAGAACACAGAACTGTTATATTTACAACCCATGACTAAGGCTCTACTACTTTTATGGAGCTCCTAGAGCAGGCTTTTTTTTTTTTTTTTTTTGAGTTGGAGTCTCACTCTGTCGCCCAGGCTGGAGTGCAGTGGCATGCTCATAGCCACTGCAGCCTCGACCTGCTGGGCTCAGGTGATTCTGCCTCAGCCTTCCAAGTGACTGGAACCACAGGCGTGTGTCACCATGCCCGGCTGATTTTTTAATTTATTGTAGAGATGAGGTCTTGCCATGTTGCCCAGGCTGGTCTCGAACCCCTGAGCTCAGAGAAAGTGCTGGGATTATAAGCATGAGCCACCATATCCGGCCCGGCTCAGAACAGGCTCTTAATATTTATAAACTGACATATTGCA